ACAGAGGTGTGACGTGCGTTCTTTTCGGCTCATTAAAGATTAATCTTGCAGCGGCATTTTTGATTAATTGTAGAGGTTTGATAGAACTGGCTGGAAGACCCGCCAAGAGAGCATTGCAATAGTCCAGCCTGGATAAAACAAGAGCTTAAACAAGGAGTTGTGTTGCATGTTCTGAAAGAAAGGGCCTGATCTCCCTAATGTTGTATAAAGCAAATCTGCAGGACCGGTCAGTTTTAGCAATGTGGTCTGAGAAATTCAGCTTATCATCAATCACAACTCCAAGGTTTCGAGCTGTTTACCATACAAAGAAATGGTCAGTAACATCATCACTTTGAGGTACGATATCTATATCAGTAAGATCAATTCCATGCGATATAATTAAATCGAGCATATAATTAAAACGATGAGTGGGCCCGGTGATGTTTTGCTTTACTCCAAAAGTGTTTATTGGGTCAGTAAACGCAAGTCCTAATGCATCATTTGTATTATCAACATGAATATTAATGTCACGTTAATTACATTCATTAACGTTAATGTTAATGTCATGTTAAAGTCAGCCTTAAGTCACCAGCAGTTCACGCTCTTTTTTACTGTGCAACATAAACTGACTGTTGTAAAACTGTGAATGCAGGGCCACTGACATCATGTGTCTTCTTTCTTCTGAGTAACACGGAAGAAAACCTTTTGAAGAATGTTTCAGTTTCAAAACAGTTTCAGTTCCCTTTGACTTTCCTTATGGACAAACAATACAACGAAAGTCAATGGCAACCGAAACTGTGTGCTTATCAACATTCTTCTAAATATTTTCTTCTGTGTTGAGATTTGAGACATGAGGGTGATGATAACAGAATTATGAGTTGTCATTTTTGGGTGGACTGTCCCCTTTAAATATTTCTAAGGTTTTCCACAGCACCAGTTGTCATATAAAGTCCTGCAGCAAAGGGCGGACATTGCGCAATTCGCACCGTAATTAAATCAGTAGCTGGGTCACCAATCACACAGACAGCACTCCCACAAAGGGCTATAAATAATTGTGCCTTTCTGGGATTATGGGATCAGCACAAACACGAAAGAAAATAAGAATTAACTCAACAACTACAATTTGTTACTCCATCTGGTGTACCCTGTTAAAACTCTTTTTCTTAGATTTCGTACTGATGTAGATGTTATATGTGATTTCTGTGGGACTGAGAAAGAAAATGCTGTGCACTTATTTTGTAACTGCATTTATAGCTAAATGTTTTGGATAGATTTGGAATGTTTCCTTTGTAAATGCCTAGGCATGAAAGTTTACCTTTCTGAAAAATATGTTTTTTTTATTTGTATTTTAATAGACAAAGATTACCACCAAATGTGGCCTTTATTGTTAATCTTTGTTTGATTATTGGGAAATACCATATACATAAACAGAAATGGGCTAAAGGAAAACCCAACTTTTTGTTATTTCAGATAGATATGAAAAATTATATTGAGTTACTACTTGGGTTGAAACACAGTAAAGCAAAACGCACTAGGTCTCTTTGTGAAGCTTTTATGTTATTTATATGATGATCTCATACCTGTTTATTTATTTTTTATTTATTTTTTTTAACCTGTATTATTATTTATATTATACTGTATATTTTCTATTTCTTTGTTGTTGTTTATATTTGTTCAGTACCTTTATATTATATGTTGGAAATCAATAAAAAAAAAATACAGCAGACCTGAGGAGAGCCAAAGAATACAATCAAACACTGAAAAAAAATCAAGTAAGTTACATAATTTACAATGTCTCTTTTGGAAATCCAGATTAAAACGTTTATATTTCGGGATCATTCCAAAGGGTTTAACATATTAAAATGACATCCGCAACTCGTTGTTGTTGTTGTTCATATTGTCTGTTTACACGATTCCAACATACATACTTAAGTTCCGTAGTCATAAAATGTTTCAATCCTAATCTGTATGTTTGGTTATAATAGTAATATCGTAATATTACAGAGATGATAGTAACATTGGAGCACACGTCCCAACGCTGGTGCGATTTGCTTGTAGGGGCGTCAAGATCCAGAAGGCGGCGTAGCGTAATGTGGAAGCGGAAGTGAAAGTGAAAGAACCCGTTGTTTCAAATGTTCCACCGACCAATGAAACGCTCCGTTGTTTCACTTCCGCGGTCTGGTTCTTGATGACGTTTTTGCGTCATTCTATCAAACACGAAAGGCAGGGTTTCTGGAACAGTTGACATGTCCACGTTGAAAAAAATCACTGCGTTGTTCATCATAAGATGAAGAAAGAAGATCTAAATCAAAACATGGTGACGTTTTCTGCGTAACGTTAGTTCCAGGACAGGATTTTCTAACACATCTCATCGAGGGATACTACTGGATCTTTAGAGACTCATCGGCTGCCTCCCCTGCAGGTAAATCCCTAAACGGCTTCAAAGCAGAAGTATGAATTTATAAATCTGTTTATAAATACATACTGAAACATGTTTACATGAATAAACGTCCAAATATGTAACGTTATGTAAGTAAATGCACGGTTTTAATTTATTCTTGCATTTTTATCGTTTATTCTTTTATTAAAATTATATAATATTCTGAATACGTACTACTTATTCTGAATAATAATTATTGGTTTTATATAGAATAGATAAGCCATAAAAAGAGCACGCAGTGGCGGCAGGTGGAAAAATTTTAGATAAGGCGCCACATGTCCAACAATTTTAGCATACATCCCGGTATGATTTATCCCAGTATAAAAAAAGGAAAAGTATTAATTTTTTAAATAAAGATAATTGTTTTACCAAGTTCAAGACTGTGGATGATTCCCACAAAACTATATTTTCTGTAAGCTTTTTTCAAGATAAATTAAAACTTTTTAATTTTCATAATTCACAATTTATGTATACAGTGCAACAGCAAAAACTGTGAGGAAAAAAATCAATGTTACATTTGTTTAGACTAGAGCAGGGGTGCCCAAACTCGGTCCTGGAGGGCCGGTGTCCTGCAGAGTTTAGCTCCAACTTGCCTCAACACACCTGCCTGGAAGTTTCTAGTATGACTAGTAAGAGCTTGATTAGCTGGTTCAGGTGTGTCTAATTGGGGTTGGAGCTAGACTCTACAGGACACCGGCCCTCCAGGACCGAGTTTGGGCACCCCTGGACTAGAGCACGGGTGTCAAACTCAATTCCTGGAGGGCCGGAGCCCTGCAGAGTTTAGATTCAACCTTAATTAAACACACCTGATCCAACTAATCAAGTCCTTCAGGCTTATTTGAAAACTACATGTTATATGTGTTGGAGCAGCATTGGAACAAAACTCTGCAAGGCTCCAGCTCTCTAGGAATTGACTTTGACACCCTTGTACTAGAGCATTATCTATACCAGGGATAGGGCAACGTTGGTCCTGGAGTACCGCTGCCCTGCAAAGTTTAGCTCTAACCCTAATCAAACACACCTGAACAAGCTAATCGATGTCTTCAGGATTACTATGCTGGCTGCACACTAGAGGATTTTAAGCCCGATTTGCATTTCTGAAAGATCAGGGGGCGTGGCCCGATTTGAGGCTTGTCGCAAATGATTTTTTGTCCAAAAAAATCGTCTATTGTGTGGTGTCATTACGATTATTTAACTGCTCCTGATCGAGACGGAGCGTCGCCAAAGTCAAATCGTAAATATAAAACATGTTTGATATTTCCGACTCTTGATCTGGCTGCCTCTGATGTGATAGCCAATGAGAGCAAGCAAGCGTCACTTACCGGATGTTGCGTGCTTCTATAGCTGAAACTTGGCAGCCACAAAAATGCCAAGAAAGCAGAATACATCACCCATATTCTTTGTTATACTTTGTTTTTCACTGTACAACAGAACGCGCGCCGAGAGAGCCAGCTGACAACGCCGATTGTTCTCCATTTGTGTATCTTCTCTAGTCACGTTTGATCTCGCGAGTCTCCATGAGATCTAGTGTCACTGTGAAATCGTTCCTACAATCACCAAGTGTGTGGTCTCGCGGTCTGCTGGAATCGTCCAGTGTGCGCGTTCAGAGGATTATAAGGCTAACAATCGGTTGAAACTGTCTTCATGTCTGTGGTCTCCCATGATTTTAAAATCGTTTAGGATTTGAAAATCGTCTAGCCAGCTTAAGGCTGCAGGCAGGTGAGGTTTATTTTTTTCAGGGTTGGCGCGAAACTCTGCAGGACATCACTCCAACACACCACTGTTCTATACATATATAAATAACTACAAGTCAAGCTGCAATAACAAACAGCACAACACGGAGATGCCAACAGACTACTATACCAGTTGCCTTAACCTGACTTTATATAGATATATACGGATCCATTCAGAATTATTAAACTGAGCAAAACGCAAATGTAAAAAAAAGCAAATAAAAACATTCTGAATTGAATGAATATGGGGATCTGAAGGTGGCTCGACATCACCAGTGAGCAGTTCCTCTGTCAGAGTGAATGTTGATGCTCATATGTATATAAACACTACTGAACACTGCCGATGGCTGATAGACATCAGCCCCCCCCCCGCATCCCAATACCGTGTTCGGAAAGAAAATGACGTGTAGGCGGAATCCCTAAAAGGAATAAATACGAGTTGAGAGGAAAATATATATTACAATATTTTTTCTCGCAGTTATATAACTGGGTAATTATACTACATATTTCGGCATCAGGGAGCCGCTATTATACCTGCCATTGAAACTATGGGATTACATCTCTGCCACAATTCTGCGCGTGAAAGATCATATTTTGAGCGCGCAAAAGTGCGTTTTGCACGGCCGCGAAATGAGTTTTGGGGAGAAAATGTTTGTCTCGCAAAGAAGAAAGTATTTCAAGCGCACAAAAATCAATTTTGCATTTAAAATAAGTTTTTGGATTGGTGCAGACCTCTTTTGCACATGCATCGTTTCAGTAGCTTGCTCACCTGATGCCCGCCCTCAGTGCTCTCTAAATGCCAACGGCTTGCTTGCTCAACACAACCCAGAGTTACAATATTTTAATAACTACTATTAATCTTGTATTTAATCGTTTATAATTAATATATAATTATTCATGAAGGCTGGAAGTGAAAAATTTCTTATATTCAGGTGTGCATAATTATTAAGCAGATTTTCTTTTACAGATAAAATGAGCCAAAAACAAAAAAAGAGATTTAACTCAGACTGAAAGTGAAAAATTATTAAATGCCCATGAGAAATATTAAAAACTAATACAATACTAGAAATTGCAAAGTTAATGCAT